GACAATAGAGGCACCAAAACACTGATCTGTCTCTGTGAGCTGCAGAGAGGAGAGCAGCCCAGATGTCCAGAATTGTGGGAGATACTGCCAGAAGAAAGGAAATAATTGGTAAGAAATTTTCTATTCTTAACAGTTATGGCCCCTACTGATTCTCCACAACTCTTTGGAAGATGCCCTGAATCAGAGGAACACAGATCTTGGGTTCATTTCCGCAGTCATTGCTACTACATCGAGTCCTCGTATACAAAAAACTGGGCCCAGGCTTCCCGAGAATGCACTCGATTAGGTGAGTGTCATTTTTTTGTGTGTGTGTTTAAGAGTGAAGACTTAGAACACATGTAAAATAATATTGAAAAAATAGTAATCAAACTTTAGATCATTAAAAAAACAAATTGACTTTTTCAGTGTTAATGCTTTTTATTTATTATATAGATTTCACATAACTTGGACAACAAAACTAGATTGATTAGTTTCACTGTCTAGTTTTCACACATTAGAAATTTCAGAGTTGTTAAGTCACTCAGATCAGGTGAAAGACTCAGTTTTGGGCACCTCCTCCCAAGCTGGTGAGCATCTGCTAGTGGCAGAGAAGGGAAGCTGGGGGAGGGAGGAAGGAAGAAAAGCTCTCTAACCCTCATCTCTATGGGTAAGTCTGGGAGAACTGCTCAAGGATAATAACTCGTAGAGACTCTGCCTAGATGGTAATCCCTAGCCCACCCATGTTTCCTTAATTGTTCCAATATATTTCTGACTTCTAGCCAGATTTTATAACAGATTAAATATCAGACACTATATTTCTGAATGTTTAATAACAATTTAATCTGAAGAGTGGGTACAAAGATTTTCAGTAGCACTGCATATAGTCGCTGGGAAGCAATAACAGTGTTCAGCAAATAGACAAAAATGCAATATACATAGGCATTTTACTGTGCAAGTGTGTTAAAAATAAACCACTAGAATGATTTACACAAATATGTGATTTTGTCACAAGGAAAAGGGTAATTTTACACTAAAAAGCAAAATTCAAGAAGAGCTATATTGTGCCATTGTACAACATGCAGAACTTCCATTCGCTGCAGTGGATGTTTTGTGCAAAAATCAGTGATATGACACAGCCTCAAGAATTAATTGCTTTCAATTGTTCATAAAACTTAGAAAATAAGCTTTTCTCCCAAAAGGCAGATTTTTTTTTTCAGTTATGTCTTGTTAATGCTTTTTTTCAGATGCTACTTTGGCTTCTATAGAAGACCATGCTGAATCCAGCTTTCTGTCACATAGGATAAAGCCACTTGAAAGTAAAACAACCAGCTTTTGGATAGGAATGAGCAAAAATGTGAATGGTAATTTCTTACTTTCAGTAGTCAATAATATAAATAGACGATTATGGTGTCATATTTCATATCTTAGGAAGTTATAACATAAAACAGATATTAAGAGGCAATATTACACATTTTGTAGTATGTGTTTTAATTATTTATGTGTATACAGCACTGTAACTAAAGTGTTTATTAGATGTTTATTAGATGACATCATAACATTTAAAAACCAGTAGGGAACACTTCAACCTCTCTGGTCACTCAGTAACAGACTTAAAGGTGGCAATTTTGCAACAGAAAAGCTTCAAAAACAGATTCCAACGAGAAACTGCTGAACTTGAATTAATATGCAAGCTAGATACCATCAATTTAGGTTTAAATAGAGACTGGGAATGGCTGAGCCATTACACACATTGAATCTATTTCCCCATGTTAAGTATCCTCACACCTTCTTGTCAAACTGTCTGTAATGGGCTATCTTGATTATCACTACAAAAGTTTTTTACTCTTAATTAATTAGCCTCTTAGAGTTAGTAGGGCAACTCCCATCTTTTCATGTTCTCTGTATGTGTTTATATATCTCCTTACTATATGTTCCATTCTATGCATCCGATGAAGTGAGCTGTAGCCCACGAAAGCTTAGAGACTAACAAATTTATTTGACCATAAGATGCCACAAGTACTCCTGTTATATTTGAGTTCGGTATTAAAGTTTTAACCCTGTACTGTGCTTTTTGTAAATAAAATTTCTGCTCATTTGAAGATTTTCCTATTGGGAACAATCCAGGTCTAGATTAAAGTGCCAGCCCTATTTAGAAGATGGGCATTTTTTGAATGACTCATTAATCTGTAATAACCAATAGGAATTTAGATCTGCTTGTGAGGAAAACAAGATTTGGGGGGGGTGAAGTCAGAAAGATAAATAGCACACTGAAAATATGGAAGGGAGATAGACAAGATAAATGCTATCTGAGTATGTAAGAAACAAAGACAAATTTTGCCAACAATTATTGTATACGCATATCACAGTTTTTCTTCATACTTAAAATCAAAAATAATTATGTTAATTATGTGCTCTGTTTGGCAATTCCTAATCACTGTAGCTTTCTTAGACATAAGTTGGTAGTTAAGATATTATCCAGTACAACATTCAACTATGATCTGATCTGTCCTGTAAGACACATTTCCCTGAAACCAAAAACTATAAGTAAAATTACTCAATTTTGATGCAGACCAGAGAAGGAGAAAGGCTACTTACTAGTACATTTGATCCAGTAGTGATAGTCTTGGTGATCAAATGAAAGCTTAAAATATCATCTGGTGGCTGACAAATGGAGGAGTCTTTTTCAAACTCTGAGGCTCGATCTGTTGATACTTCTGTTCTGGTATTTTAAATACTTCTAAGCCTTTCAACATGTTCTTTCAGTCTAAACAGTTGACCATGTATTTCCTTTTAACATTAGGTCAATGGTTATGGAGAGACAACACTGCAGTGGATTTTGTCAACTGGAATGAGGAAGAGCCTTCAAGTTATGGTAATGAGAAGTGTGTCGAAATGTATGCATCATCTGGGTACTGGAATGATGCTCAATGTTCTTACAAAAGAGGATATATTTGTAAAAAATCAGAAAGTAAGTGATATTTGCAATATATTGGGGTTATGGTTAATAATGTGTATAATGGGTGTATACATTAAAAGGCATGCTGCATAGTATTATAGCAGAGAACAAGCTCTGCTATAGTCAAGATATATACGTATTACAGATATTGTGTGTGTATTTATTTATATAAAAATATATAAAACCATACACATTGAGGGTGAAGTCAAAGATCACTTATACTTCATTAAAGGCCAAATTTTATCCATGTTAAACACAAAACTCCCATCGACTTCAATGAGGTCAGGATTTCACCAAAAATACCATACACACCTGGGTTTAGAAGTAACAAGTTTGGTTTCACTCATCTTAAATATATATAAAAATGATTGTTGTGATGGACAGTCTCCCTTTAATGAAAAGTATCCCTGTAATTTATGCTAGAATTGGATTTCCCTTATTCACCATCATCCTACCATGCTGATGGAGTACAGAACTGTGATTAGTATCAGAGGGGTAGCCGTGTTAGTCTGAATCTGTAAAAAGCAACAGAGGGTCCTGTGGCACCTTTAAGACTAACAGAAGTATTGGGAGCATAAGCTTTTGTGGGTCAGAACCTCACTTGAAGAAGTGAGGTTCTTACCCAC